GCTAGACTTTATGAGGTAGTATTTGTTTTACTGACTTACACCAAGCAGGACGAAATCCCCCAAGATCTGTATCTAATAACAGAAAATGAATTCAATTCACATAATGATATCCTTCTTAAGAATTTGATTATCCAATTTTACACCCGTCTTTTGAGACTTGCATATAATTCTAATCACTCAAAGGATTGGTTATTACTGAAAATTAGACCACAATACAAGTACATTTTGAGATTATTCTTTGACCCGGAATACCATGGTGAATCCAAGTTTCTGCTGGTACCTGAAGCAGTGAAAACCATTGCTACTCTATCGTACATAAACGATGGCGAATTATTCAACGATCTTGAAGAAAAGCACTCAATTCTTTCAAAAGCCACCGACTCGTTTTACGGGGACGGTTCCGTTTTATTACTATCTGATATCAACCCCACTGTACTCATTCCAAAATACCAGACATTCATTTCAAGTCTACCTCTAAGGGCTTCATTAATTCCAATCATCAAAAACTTGATAACCACACCAGGAACTTTCAGTTTCCTCTCATTGCCTACCACTTCTCTCCGAAATTTGCCCATGTTGGAATTATTCGACATTCTATCCTCAGTATCTGCGTTCGAACATAGTTCCCATGTTCTACTTCACGAATGGCCCTCCATCATGAGGAGATTGCTAGACGAGAATGTCAGCATTACTGAACCTGAAGTAAGGTTTTTGAAACGTCAAGTACTTGAAAACTTGCTCCAATATAATACCTCAGTTCTTGGTATCTGGAGCACTCAAATTAAACGAGTCCATCGAGAGCTTTTATCTGGGAAGAAGGTAGAGGCCCAACCGGTTATATACGACTCTGTGTCCTGATTCTTCACAAATTTGATTAATATATATGATAATGAAATCTAGAAAATATTTGGTACATCCTTCAGGTTATGGTGTGCCCGGTTGTACCAGTACTTGTTGTTAAATACCCAATATTGTTCTCCAGTTACAGGATGCGTTCCTAACGTGAACCACTTGGGTTTGTACTCCTGGTTGGCAGCCTCTCGTTTGCGTCTTGCTGCTCTTTGTTTTTCTTCCACTTTATTCTTTTCAACAGATGCGTCATCGTAACGGCCTTCTTCCATCGCTCTTTGATCTGGTCGCAATCGAGTGTCAGTTTGTGGTAGCCAGTCTAATAGCTTCTCTTGAGGAGCATTCAGTGAGGCAGCAAATGTAGTCAGGTTAAAAGCCATATCTTTTGGCCTAGGGTTGGCTCGCCAAATAACGAACTTTTCCTTTCCAGGACCTGCATGCTTGCCATATAAGACACTGTTCCAGTGACCGCCAATCGTATAGCGAATAACTCCCTTGCCATCAATGACTTCTCCTTTAACCTCATATGCATTGTTGGACCGCCAACCTCTAGGCTTAAAGTTTAGAACAACAGAATCCTTAGTAGTATGGTTAACAATTTTCATCTCACCATAGTTGTCTACTGTAGGGTTACCAGTAATGATTCCAACAACAGAACTAGTAACTTTCTTCCACGTATATAATTCTTCTTTGATCCCGTGGTCCGGTCTCAAATTCAAATACCAGGTACCCAATGGCTTGATATCAAACGAACGGCCATAAAACTTAGATTTCACAGCACTCTCTCCAAAGTAATCCCACTTGGGAGATTCCGCAATGGCAGCACCAATGGGGGGATGGTGGGAAACCTGTTCCACGAAGAATCTGTAATTTCTATCAGGTCTTGCATACTCATATGTTTCTCCCAGTAAAGGATTGAAAGGTTTTGCAATTCGATCGATGGTAGATGCATACTCAGAGGCAGCAAACGCGGCAACATAAACCAGTCTCAATGCAGAGTCTTCAAAAGTAGCAGCACTATCCAAAAGGTCAACGTACTCCATATCCTCGGCTACCCTCTGAAGTAAAGAAGTGCATTCATTAAAAGAAACGGGAAGTGTCATCTTTGTCATGTCTTTTCCAATCATAGACTTTAAGATTCCCCATAAGGAGATTTTAGGTCTATCGTCAGATAAGGAAAGCCGCGTTCTGATTCCATCTTCATATCCCAAGAACGACCCTTCTTTCTCCAAGATCAAAGACTTTTCTCTTTGAAGTAAAGTCACCAAAGGGTGAGTTCCACTCTCAACGTCTCCTCCTTCGACAAGAGTAGCTGCGTGACTCTTTCTCCTCTCGGTAACTGGTTCTTTCTCACCGACTGTTTCCTCAGGAGCAATGCCACTCTGAATACTACCAGAGTCATCTTCAGCATCGAAAAATTGATCATCATCGTCATCGCTTTCGTCCTTTAGCATATCAATAATTTCGGCTTCGCCTTCCATTGCAGCCTCAGTAATGGGGGACGATCCGGTAACGGTCACCTGGGTAACTTCAGGTTTGGAACTTTCGCCAGAAAGTGAAAATCTGTTCTTCAAAACTTTCCTCAAACTTTTTTGTTTATTTTCCAAAGTGGCAAGTCTTTCTTCACGATCTCTAATCTCCGAATCTAGGTTTTGAATTTCCTTTTCCCACAAACTTGAGATCTTTATTTGACGTTCCAAAGTTCTTGTCAACTTTTCGGTTCTCAAGGCAACCAGTTTGGTATACTTCTGAAATATCCGTTCAATATTCAGCACGCTATTAGACGATATCTCTGCAAAAGTATATTCCTTCGGTAAAGAGTTCAATAGGTCTTTAAAAGTGGACAACTCCATCGTAAGATTATTTTGCAGTACTTTCAATTCGGAAGAATAAAGAGATAAGGCTTTGAATTGATCCTGATATCCTTCGCCAATGTCCGAAGAATTCTCAACGTCTTCAGCCTCTGCATCATATTCTTCGAGCTCACCATGTACTAATTCGGAGTTTTCGTCTTCGTAATCCGAGGCAAAACTTTGATTAGAAGCGTTCACAGTTGCCTTTCTCGATGAATCCATCGAAACAGAATCTGCAACTGTAAGGTTCTTGTCTGTGTTCAAAGGATGCGTTTCTGCTATATCAGGCAATCCCTGACTTGATTTTTCTAACCTCTTCGATGGTTTCCTACTAACTTCGGATACTGGGGCTGAATCGGGCTCATTATCAAAATAGCTTGAGTTCGAAACGGACGACGCAGCTGAATTTGTTCTAAAATGGCCCATTGCATTTTTGGAATTGATGTTATAAGTGTGAGAATTTCTTGAGCTGTCAAAGCTTTCTCTGGCACGTGAAACCGCCGATGATTTGGAACTTGATTCCTTTTCTAATAGTTTTCTTTTTTTCTCTATATCCTTGGCGTATCTGATAGCATTTTGTAATGCCCAAACCCATCTATTCGTTTCAATGTAGTGGTTTGCTTTCAAATGCCATTTACTAACTGATCCGGCTCCAACAATGATAATCTCAAACTTGGACTTTTCAGAGCTATCCATTTTCAAAGAGGCATGACAAAGGTTAATCGAGCCTCTGCAGGAATTGTTTATATCATTGGGGGATTTGAAGTATGAAAGTCGACCGTGATCATCTAAAATGAACCAACGTAACTTGTAACCGCCTGCGAAGTTGGTCCATTTCTTTAGAAAACCTTTGAACGTGGGAGGTCCAACCGATGTTGCACCCTGATCAATAATATTCTGCTCTTTAGAGCTTTCTTTTAATATCTTCTTCACTTCAGAAGAAACAGCTGAGTCAATGGGTAATTTCCCCTTAACATTCCTCTTGAATGGGTCGCCACCATGTGACACGATAAACTTGACCATCTGTGCGTCATTTCTCTTTACATATTCGTGAAGAACAGTATCGCCAGTTACAGGGTCTGTTCCGTTGATATCAAGTAGTTCTTTAGTACGGGGGTCGGTTAGTAATTCATCCAATTTTTCAAAATTCCGACTTTCGAAGTTCTTTCTCAATTCAGCAGCGCTTTTCTCCACAAACTTGGTACGTAAATCTGAAAAGAGCTGACCAGTTTCAATATCGCCTGCTAGTTCAATTGGTTGCTGCTTATTTTTGTTCAGGACGCAGTCGTTGATTGTATCTAGGGACATCAAAAAGCTAACAATGTCATCTCTTGTATTTTGAGCAGCCAAATGCAAAGGAGTGTTACCATCGCCATCTTGAATGTTGACATCAGACACTAAACCCTTCTCCACAATGTATTGGACTATGCTCAAAGGTGCAACTTGCACAGCATAATGGAGTAAATACTTGGCAACCTTGCTAACTTCTGAGTTTGGAGGGTAATTGCTATTCCTGATTTCATCCATCTGTTTTTGAAGCTTCTGCTTATCACCATTTCTAAGGCAATCTAGGAACTTGAGTCGCAGCAAAGAAGCATTCAACTTTGAGCTTGAGTCCAGAGCAGTTCTAAAGTTGGATGTTAGTTATAATCATATAGCACATTCATAGCATTGATGATACTTACTGAGATTTTTCTGACATTGCTCTTTGTGATTGAATTGATTTCTTCTACTGTTGAGTTGATAAAGAGGTTTGTTTGAACAAAATGATAGTCGCTTACCTGACCGTTTTAATGGGAGGGTGCGGGAGGAGCAGGTACGATCGCGAGCAATGTTAATTTATTGGCTGGGCTTCAAAAAATGACAGAGAAATTACCAAAGTACTGAGGTTATTCCGAAAACGTCCCGTCTTACACCATCCGATAGAGCCAGTGAAGGCCTGTCATAATATATACCTGCTATTGCTAATTAAATCATATAACCCACATCCTAAACGAGTCTCTCAATTTGTCTTCCATGTAAATGTTATCAATCTCGACATGTAATCATTACGCCATTCGGTAATGTTGCAGCTACAACTGATTGTTTTAAAGTTTTAATCTACAACCAGAAAAGTCAAGAATGAGAAGGCACAGCCATGTCGATCGGTGTAATTGCCTGTCAAAAGACAAATTCTTGGTCTATTCTTATACGAGAATTTCCTCAGTGAGCAAGACAGTAAAACCTGGATGCTTTGAGATTGAATTGATTGAGCATAATATGATCATGACAAACATATTTACATTTAAACTTGCTGAAGGCACTATGGCCGAGCGGTTAAGGCGAAAGACTTGAATCTTTAAGAAATCTTTTGGGCTCTGCCCGCGCAGGTTCGAGTCCTGCTGGTGTCGATATTTTTTTTTTGTTGTTGTTTTCGTTTATTTCATATTTTGCTATTACCCGTTTGGGTCTAATGTAAACATGTATAGTGTTTGCACAGTATACACTGCACGCCGGGAGTACTAACGGTACCAACTACGGTACTCAAAGGGACTCAGAAAGGCTAGAAGGAAACTACACTCATTTTCGATCTCGTTGTTTTCCTCTCAGTTTTTAGTCCAGGGAGGAAACACACAATGAAGATTCGCATACCATTTCTCATACTGAGCTGTCTCAGCACAGCGATTTGCATAGTGAACTCATCGTTAGCAATATATCTTTGCAAGATAATATCCTTTGAGCCAACACTGGTTGCCCTTGCAGTAGGAGAATTGATACCGCTGGTTGGTATTATTGTCGTTGGAACTTCTCAAGGAGGAGTCTTATTCATGGGCTGTCTAGTAGTAAGTTGTGTGACATCTCTGGCTAGTGGGATCGCTTGGCTGGCTAGGATTGTGAAGAACGTTGAGAGAATGGGAAAATACTTGGAATCGTCATATAGCTTTACCATTTGTTTGATATCCATGTTCATTTTGTCGCAAGTGATCAAAATCGTCCTTACTCACTTCATTCCCCATGCCACACCGAAGATAGAATTCCCCAAAGATGAAGAGAGTTTTGCCATGGAAACCATCCTCAACTATAAAGCTTCAGCCCAGACTCTAGTACAAGAAACAAATATACCCATACATCATTTGAATGAGGGCAAGGACCCTTGGTGCAACGATAATAATGATTCTGTTAAAATCCATAAATCAGCCCAACAATCGCAGGATATCAAAAGCAATATGCAACTTGGCTCGGACGGTTCATCACAACAGGGGTTTGACCCTGAAGAATACAAAGTGCATAATCACAAAGAGTCCTTGAAGTCTAAGAGATCACTGGAGTTCGAAAAAAATATCATAAGAAATATATCCAATTCGTTACTACCACCTGTTCTCCAACAAGGTAAAAGTGACATTTCGTATTTACGAAATGAAATGATGGGGACCTTAAAACAACCTCTTCAAAACAACGAAAACCAAGATAGTGAGGGTAAGTTGTTTATTGACGACCTGAGTGATATCCCAGAGACCTATCCCCAAAAAGACCTTTGGAACTCCAATAGAACGGGAAATATTAGTCATGTATCTTTGAGAAACTGGAACGAAAACTATAACGACTGGAATCAAAGGCAAGAAAGAAAAGGGGTTACAACAGAGTTGTACCAATTAAATCCTGAATTCCGAAACACAGAGCAATTGTTCCACAATAACGAGTCAAGCAGTGTAGAGCATATGGAACAGGAAACGTCATTTGGGGCTCCTTCATTGTATTCGTTTAGCAACAACAAACTAAGGCAAGTTGAAAGTCAAGACTCCTCCACAGGTTATGCCAAAGTGGAGTTGGCACTGATGACAGATGTAGGCTCAAAACAAACACTCATACAGGAAGAAGAAGAATTAGATATAGAATCTAAGGGAAAGCGACGAAGATCTTCCATTGCAACGTTCAAGAATACCAGCCCAATCAAAAAACTAAGAGAGCTAAAGAATGAAATTCGAAGCAAAAACTCTGTTCATCATCGATCAAATTCGTCGTTGACCAGTAGCGTCTATGTGGGGGTGAACTTTGCGTCTGCACCAACTTCACCTGTGAAAAGGAAAACCCATAGTCTTTCCAAATCTATTTCCTGCTTTCATGTTTCATCGCAGAGCATTCATAAGGGCGATCGTTCTTTAAGAGCTGTCCAAGGCTCTCCTGAAAAACCTAATTTATCAACTTTAAGACATCATCCTCCCTTAAGCGATAATTTAAGTTCTAGGGAGAGTAGCCAAGGCTCATCTTGTCCTTCCATGTTCGTGGGGCAGTATGACCGTGAAAAATGGACCAAACTAAAGTCAAAGGAGGAAGTAATTGTATAATCACATTTTAATATAACACCATAATGATTGACTTTGACATCTTAAGGTTCAAAATCAAATTGATTAACCAGCCAGTCTTGTAATCCTCCAAAAAATAAGAGAAAGACAAAGATAGATGTCTGATAGATGAGTGAATAATGACAAGAAAGGGCCCGCCGCATCAGTCATAATTCTTGACTCTCTTAGGGAAAATTTTTTGGGACATGGAGAAAAAAGAAGGCAACAAAAACCTCCTGTGAATGCTCTTTAACTGTTGTACAACATGCGTAGATTTATTCTCAGAGATTGTGTTGTTTTCTGATACTATTGGGGTTCCGCCAGTGAAACATTGGATGAAACAGCAGAACGTACACTGTGACATGCATCTTTAATAGTAATAGTAGTAGTAAGGGAGGGAATTGACAACAATCTTGATTCTATCAATAGACTTAATCTTCTGCATTTATCTGTTGATGGAATGCCGATTACCACAACAGTGAAATAGTGTGTAAATCAATTGAAATCTAACAACAGTGGTATTGTAAAGAAGCATGGTGATGGTTTCGTTTGAATAGTGCCAGAAGTAGCAGTGACTGCGTTGAAGGGAACTATAATACTGGCATATAATAGTATCTAGTGATAGCAATATTGTTTCACAATAAACAATCACCCTGAAAATTCCGAATAAGAGCAAAATATGTTCCACAGTCAGTGATGGTCAATATGGTAGTTGAAACATCAGATAACGTGGTCGTAGTTCGCTCGTTAGGGTTGTAAGAATTAGCTGATTCCAGCCTCGTCAGGAAAGGTGAATTCGTCACCACAGCAGAAAGGGCACTTGTTTCTCCATTCATAGAAAAAGGGTTTTTCTTGCGACATTGTTTTGCATCTCATTCAATGTCAGATCCATCACTTGTAGCACAATTTGATGTGGTTGAATAACTAACATTGAAGCTCGAACATCGCATAGTTCATCCTGAACTTGAAACAGAGAGAGTTGCACACAAATTCTTTCCTGATTAATCGATATAAGTATCTTAATTGTTGTTGATTTAAGCATGTTGTCGATGTATTGTATGGCGGAGATCAAAGAATAATCAAATACATATGAACGACTGTTTGACCAATAGTTCAAGTTTGGCCAAATTACCTAGCTCCAAGGACAGCCCTAAGAGAGGGGCACACAATATATAATTGTCTGTCGCCCAAGAAGCACTGATAGTTTGTTGAAGGGAGGTGAATTGATTAGCAGGCAAGTGTGACCTCACTACAAGTGGGTCAAGTTTTGGGGAACGTAGCGTCTTTTTTAAACCTAGAGCTAGAATAAAAAAGATAGAAATGAATCGAAGTAAAGGATAGCAAATAAGGACAAATTGAGCAAGTTGATGGTCGCTTTGTAGTTCGGTCATTGGGAAGTAAGAGGAAGCAGTATATATACTTATAATAGCTTTAACTATTTTGACGCAGGAATGCATTGCATTTTAGCTTTGAAAACGAAACAAATTTTTTGTGCATGCACGTACATACATGCGCATCTACCGAGCATGTTTCCAAAAAAGGGGTTTCTCTAAACATCTACTACTCAAATTAAGGATGCTGCACAGTTTGTGAATGTATATTTTGGAAGTGAACGAATGGTCCAACGTCCATTAACAAAGGTACTCCTTGAATTTAGCTTAATCAAAGAATGAACTTTACAGAAGCTCAAAGAGTGTGTAGAGCTCAGAGGCAAAAGATGCAAAGTTCTGGACCAACCAACTCAAAACTATGACGTCCTAATACAGCATCTTGGATTCATGTAAACTATGAAATGGGCTATCCCAAGAATAGTTTGATTACCTTGGAACCAGAAACCTCCTACACTCGGTCCACAAGACTAAGATACTTTCATTTCAAAGGCTAGTGAAGGGCTGGATATAATGCAATAGCAGAGCTACCTAAAGTCCCATGTAAACACCTAGAATGATTCTTTATATACATTTGAATATTCAAAGATCTCTGGATTAATAGTACCCCAGCATAACTACTAATGGAAGAGACTGACGTACCAAGATTACTGATGAGAGAAAACTTATCGAGTAATTTTGACTCCATGAAAGATCAGCTGCAATTTTTATTGAAGTGGTCTTTACTAATATTCCATGAAGCTACTGATATTAGCTAAGCATTCGAAGTCAAACCAGAAGCATATCAGAATTGTCAAACCATGAGTGAGTACCATGTTTACCTATTCGGGGTTGAGTCATACATCTGCAACATCTTCTGTACTGTACGGTGTTGTTTCTTGGGCGTTTTGGCTTTGCTTTTTCTGGACACTGCGCCAAGTCAGAGGTGATAATTTGTTTAGTGGAGATTACGATCTCACATGTAAACTTAGAGAAACACGAACAGATACCCCAACTTCACGTGCCAAGCATATTGGTTGTGCATTATGAGAGCCACAAAATGCAGACGACATAGCGCTTTATCAGCGTGTGTAGTTAAGAGAATATTTCAAAGAATGTTCAGCTGCATCAAAAAGCGCTGCAAATCAATCCCCAATGCTCTCGCTTACATAGAGCTACATATCGCTTCGGCAACGAAAAATATCTTCCCGATGTGTCTTCCTCTCAAGTAAACAATAACATAGATGCACATCAATTTGCATCAATTGTACATCTTATCACGAGCCTTCTCTTACATTTTGCGGCATCAAGAACATTTTCTCTTTTTTCCTTCCTTTGGTGGATTCAGTCTCCATCATATGAGGTACCAGGTTGTTTATGTCACTGGTTTCATCTGTATAGGAAACAACTGAATAGGGCATTGGGCACATGAGCCACTGTCTGCATATTGGGCCTATTGATTCGTCATAACGACTTTTTCGGATAGTAGTTCCAGAGGCACTTACATGAGCTCTTTTTATTAGCCAGGTACAGATCTCGATTCTTTTTCATCATACAAGTAACTCTATTGTATTGGTGAATGTGGCTACTTCATATATTTTTGGTGTGGCATCTCAAGGCCAGCTGTTGTAGTAGGTACTAAAACTGTAGATAACTATAAGTAGTCACCTAGAGTTCGTGGATCTCTGTTTTGAAGGTCTA